GTCCTTTGTTCTATTTATCGTTATCACTACTTGAGCTATTGTATTCATTACTTTGCACTGTTGCACTGCTTATATCCATGTTATTACATGTATAGTATTCATTATTTATCTTTCTCTGTACTTTCAGACCATTTCCATGTCCATACCCCTGTTCGGCAATAAAGTTCCCTGTGTGTGTGTGTGTGTGTGTGTGTGTGTGTGTGTGTGTGTGTGTGTGTGTTAACTCTCTGTGAGGTTGCCTTATTCCTCTGACCGGGAAAGGATTTACGTGGGCCACAGACCATTCAAATAGGTGGGGAGTCCCTCACACACTGGCTATTATTCTAATGAGGTCCGCCACCAGAAAATACCACATTTGGTTGGTCCGGACCATATCTGAACCAATCATAGACGTCTATGTTTCACAAGTTTGGACATCACAGTACAGCACGGTTGAGTAGAGTTCAGTACAGTAAGTGTTCAGTACAGTACATTATACTGTACTCTACTCTAGTGTGCTCTACTGTACAGTAGTCTACTTTTCTTTACTGTTCTGTACTGTACTGTGCTCTACTGTACTGTGCTGTCCAAACTTGTGAAGCATAGACATCTTTGATTTGTACAGATTTGGTCCGGCCAGGGCAGACTGACCAAATTTCAACTACTTTATAACATCCATGGAAGTCCTGTCTCGGAGTATGCTTGTTACAGTAAATGGAAAGAGGGTAGGTGGTACAGTGAGGGAAAAAAGTATTTGATCCCCTGCTGATTTTGTACGTTTGCCCACTGACAAAGACATGATCAGTCTATAATTTTAATGGTAGGTTTATTTGAACCGTGAGAGACAGAATAACAACAAAAAAATCCAGAAAAACGCATGTCAAAAATGTTATAAATTGATTTGCATTTTAATGAGGGAAATAAGTATTTGACCCCTCTGCAAAACATGACTTAGTACTTGGTGGCAAAACCCTTGTTGGCAATCACAGAGGTCAGACGTTTCTTGTAGTTGGCCACCAGGTTTGCACACATCTCAGGAGGGATTTTGTCCCACACCTATTTGCAGATCTTCTCAAAGTCATTAAGGTTTTGAGCCTGACGTTTGGCAACTCGAACCTTCAGCTCCCTCCACAGATTTTCTATGGGATTAAGGTCTGGAGACTGGCTAGGCCACTCCAGGACCTTAATGTGCTTCTTCTTGAGCCACTCCTTTGTTGCCTTGGCCGTGTGTTTTGGGTCATTGTCATGCTGGAATACCCATCCACGACCCATTTTCAATGCCCTGGCTGAGGGAAATCACCCAAGATTTGACGGTACATGGCCCTGTCCATCGTCCCTTTGATGCGGTGAAGTTGTCCTGTCCCCTTAGCAGAAAAACACCCCCAAAGCATAATGTTTCCACCTCCATGTTTGACGGTGGGGATGGTGTTCTTGGGGTCATAGGCAGCATTCCTCCTCCTCCAAACACGGCGAGTTGAGTTGATGCCAAAGAGCTCGATTTTGGTCTCATCTGACCACCACTTTCACCCAGTTCTCCTCCATCATTCAGATGTTCATTGGCAAACTTCATACGGCCCTGTATATGTGCTTTCTTGAGCAGGGGGACCTTGCGGGCGCTGCAGGATTTCAGTCCTTCACGGCGTAGTGTTTTACCAATTGTTTTCTTGGTGACTATGGTCCCAGCTGCCTTGAGATCATTGACAAGATCCTCCCGTGTAGTTCTGGGCTGATTCCTCACCGTTCTCATGATCATTGCAACTCCACGAGGTGAGATCTTGCATGGAGCCCCAGGCCGAGGGAGATTGACAGTTATTTTGTGTTTCTTCCATTTACGAAAAATCGCACCAGCTGTTGTCACCTTCTCACTAAGCTGCTTGGCGATGGTCTTGTAGCCCATTCCAGCCTTGTGTAGGTCTACAATCTTGTCCCTGACATCCTTGGAGAGCTCTTTGGTCTTGGCCATGGTGGAGAGTTTGGAATCTGATTGATTGATTGCTTCTGTGGACAGGTGTCTTTTATACAGGTAACAAACTGAGATTAGGAGCACTCCCTTTAAGAGTGTGCTCCTAATCTCAGCTCGTTACCTGTATAAAAGACACCTGGGAGCCAGAAATCTTTCTGATTGAGAGGGGGTCAAATACTTATTTCCCTCATTCAAATGCAAATCAATTTAAAAAAAATTTGACATGCGTTTTTCTGGATTTTGTTGTTGTTATTCTGTCTCTCACTGTTCAAATAAACCTACCATTACAATTATAGACTGATCATTTCTTTGTCAGTGGGCAAACGTACAAAATCAGCAGGGGATCAAATACTTTTTTCCCTCACTGTAGGTGTCAGGGTAGGTGTCAGTAAGAGCTGGGAAAGGTGACATTAACGAGAGAGAGAGAGAGAGAGAGAGAGAGAGAGAGAGAGAGAGAGAGAGAGAGAGAGAGAGAGAGAGAGAGAGAGAGAGAGGGAGAGAGATGAGAATAGAGAGAGGAGAGAGAGAGAGAGAGAGAGAGAGAGAGAGAGAGAGAGAGAGAGAGAGAAAAAACAGTTATGAGCTGAACATAACAGTATGCCAGTGGAAGGGAGAACCGTAGCAGGTGACCAAACTGTGGTTTGTGACTACATTTTAGTCATTTAGCAGACGCTCTTATCCAGAGCGCATACATTTTTCATACTGGCCCCCCGTGGGAAACAAACCCACAACCCTGGCGTTGCAAGCTCCATGCTCTACCAACTGAGCTACAGGGGACCATGACTACTATGATTTCCCATTGTATCTAAATCAATTGCAGTAATTCTGTTACAGATTTTTCTGTAACCGATTTGGTAACAGAATTACGAGTTTTAATCACTCAATAACTCATAAGCAAACTTGATATAACATTTTTAGGGTGGACATTTATATATGCCTTAATTAAAAAAAAATATAGACTTTTATTTGACATGCTCCTATGAACTTCATATGTTGGTGCTCATGGGTCCTTTTAGATGCAAACGCCCCCTATTAAATACATCTAGGCTATCTGCAGCCTATAGCCTATTAGATTCTGGGAATTGTTTAATTAAGTTAACTATTTGAGTTAACTTTGATTATCTAAACAATATTGAATATAAAGGTATTGTTATGTTTTGTCAGTTATAGGCTTTCATTAGGTAAGAAGAAGGCTAATTAGAAGGCTTTTTTTCAAAGCGATTTGAGTTATTGCATTGTGAAAATAAGAAGATAGGCTTATGGTTCTTAATTCATGGCATGGTTTCCTTTTATCCAAATGTTGAATTGACATGCAGACAAATTAATTCATGAAGGGAATGGGAATAGCCTTAAATCCTACTACTCTGTTGTCATAAAATCAATAAAAAAAAATGTATGTTATTTGGCGGATCACGGATCGGCTCTCAGAACAATTCTATTTGGGTGGATCGGATTGCAGAGAAAAATCAGTCCTGATGTCAGATGGGCCTCGGAATTGATGTGGCCGGCACAGGGTGGAGGTGGCTCTAAAAAACTGACCCCTGCAGGACTCTAGTTTGAAGTGTTATATCTAGGTACAATAGTCCTCTCTTGTGGAAAGACTCCATAGTAACAGCCACAGTTTCACTGCTTGAAATGCTTGCCTCATAAAATAACACTAGATAATACTAAACACAAAAATAACAATAACAAAACATTAGGTCAGAGCCAAACCATGTTTGCGTTGCTATACACTATATATGCAAATATACGTGGACACCCCTTCAAATTAGTGGATTCGGCTATTTCAGCCACACCCGTTGCTGACAGGTGTATAAAATCGAGCAGACAATCATTCAATCACCATAGACAAACATTGGCAGTAGAATGGCCTTACTGAAGAGCTCAGTGACTTTCAACATGGCACCGTCATAGGATGCCAACAAGTCAGTTTGTCAAATTTCTGCCCTGCTAGAGCTGCCCCGGTCAACTATAAGTGCTGTTATTGTGAAGTGGAAACATCTAGGAGCAACAACGGCTCAGCCGCGAAGTGGTAGGCCACACAAGCTCACAGAGCGGGACCGGCGAGTGCTGAAGCGCGTAGCACGTAAAAATAATCTGTCCTCTGTTGCAATACTCACTACAGAGTTCCAAAATGCCTCTGGAAACAACATCAGCACAATAACTGTTTGTCAGGAGCTAAATGAAATGGGATTCCATGGACGAGCAGCCACACACAAGCCTAAGATTACCATGCGCAATGCAAGCGTTGGCCAGAGTGGTGTCAAGCTCGCCGCCATGGGACTCTGGAGCAGTGGAAATGCGTTCTCTGGAGTGATGAATCACGCTTCACCATCTGGCAGTCCGACGGACAAATCTGGGTTTGGCAGATGCCAGGAGAACACTACCTGCCCGAATGCATAGTGCCAACTGTAAAGATTGGTGGAGGAGGAATAATGGTCTGAGGCTGTTTTTCATGGTTCAGGCTCCTTAGTTCCAGTGAAGGGAAATCTTAACGCTACAGCAAACAATGACATTCTAGACGATTCTGTGCTTCCAACTTTGTGGCAACAGTTTGGGGAAGGCCCTTTCCTGTTTCAGCATGACAATGCCCCCGTGCACACAGCGAGGTCCATACAGAAATGGTTTGTCGAGATCGGTGTGGAAGAACTTGAATGACCTGCACAGAGCCCTGACCTCAACCCCATCGAACACCTTTGGGATGAATTGGAACGCCGACTGCGAGCCAGGCCTAATCACCCAACATCAGTGCCCAACCTCACTAATGCTCTTGTGACTAAATGGAAGCAAGTCCCCGCAGCAATGTTCCAACATCTAGTGGAAAGCCTTCCCAGAAGAGTAGAGGCTGTTATAGCAGCAAAGGGGGGACCAACTCCATATTAATGCCAATGATTTTGGAATTAGATGTTCGACAAGCAGGTGTCCACATACTTTTGGTCATGTACTGTATTTGGCAGTGAAAATGATGCACAAATGTGTAACAAAACATTACATTATTAACCCCTGGTGAAACACTCTTATATTCAGAATAACATGTAACACAGTTCAACATAAAAAATTATTGAATAAATTGAACAAAACACAAATGTATGAAGTAGCTACCTGAGAGAGATGACACCTCATCTTGCAACACTGTATCTTCAGAGGCCTCTCTATCTTCCACTGTATCACTCTGGAAGGAAGCAGGTAGGGTGAGCACGTCCACTTGCCCACCGCCACGCTTGGCCTCCGTCTCCGTCTCTGCCTCCCCCTCCCCAGAGTCTGTGCTCCTGATGCTGAGGCATCTCATGCGCGACACTGAGTCCACCTCCTTCATCCGTGCCAGGCACTCTACCGCCACCCGGTGGCTGGGTGAGGCAGCCAGCTTGTCCTGCAGGGCCTCTATGCGCTGTGAGGGTCCTCTGCACCTCCTTTCTCCCTCCAGACTGTGGGACAGCTTAAGGTCAGGGTTGATGGGGACCGAAAGCGGTAGTCTGTCTGGTGGAAACTCCTGCATACCTGGAGTTTCTCGACCCAGATGGGTCCATTTCACACTCCTGATGTGCTCTGGGTTATCCTGTGGTGGCTCCTTTTCTTTTGCCTCCTTTTCTTTTGCCTCCTGCCCATCAGGAGGAACTGTAGATACCGTTCCAGAGTCCAGTTCCTCAGAATCTGGATCTCTCACATGCGTTTGTCCTGTCTGTTCGTTTGCACTCCTGCTTTCTGGATCTTCTCTAGCAGCGGGATTACTCTCTGTAAATTCAATCTCCTCTGTTGCCGTCTCGCTAACCCTCTGCTCCCCTGTGACTAAAGACTCTGCAGGTATATCAATCCCTAATATCCTGGCTGCCCTCTCCTCTATGGACTCGTTCTCTGGAATGCCCTCAGCACATTTAAGTTTGAATAGATTGCCAAGGTCCTCTGCCGCTGCCAGAGCTTGGTTGGTCTTCTCAGCAGCGACACTCCCCTGCACGTTCTTATCTATGAGTGACAGCTGCTTCCTCCAATCGCAACATATAGTCTGAGCCTCTGAACGATTTGAGCCAGAGTCAGAGGAAACCTTTGTGTCTACTTCGCCTTCAGCTGGTTCTTCAGATGTTTCAGCTCCTTGTGGACTGTCACTGTCGCCAACAATCGTCGCACTACTTTGATCGGATAAGTCTGGGCTTGACTCCTCATGGAGCGGAGACATTGGACTTGGTCTGGAAATCTGGCTCTCGCTCTCTTTTTTACAAATGGGGCATTCCTCTACAGAGTCTAAACAGGCACCCCCTGGAGGCTCTGTATCGCAGCTACCACCACCAGGTTTAGATATGGCAGTCAACGTTTTGTTAACCTCTGAGTCTCGGGTCTTTTGTAAAGACTGACATATGTCCTCATAGTCAGGGGGACTTGTAAGTGTAGAGGCGTCCTGCATCGGCTGCCTATCTGCCCAGGGGACTTCGGCTGCAGTGTGCGTTGTTGGCGTCATTGGGCTGAAGTCTCTGGTCTCGCTGGGATCACTAGGAGGGTCAGTAAAGTCACTAGGGCCAGTGAAGTCACATGGTGGTGGTGTCTCCGAAGGCGAAGGGAGGTCTAGCTTCACTGTCCTGCCACTGCAGCTACTTCTCCTCTGCGACAAGTTCGAAACAACCCTGTATTCTCTGAATCCTGTAGGCTTGCGTGGTGGGACAGGGAGCTCTTCTCTTAGCTGCTTGCTGAAAGTCACAGATTTTCTTTCAGCGGGTCTGGAGAAGGCGCTCTTAACCTCCCTGTACTCCGGGTCGACAGACACAGACCAGCTCTCGATACTGTGCCTAAGGCTGCTGGGCTTGCTGAGCCCCGCCTCCCCTGCCAGCCTTATCTTGATCCGCTCAGGGATCTGCACAGCGCCGCTATTGTTGGAAATGTTATTGCTGGCAGTGCCTAGCTCTAGGATGTCTTTGTAGGCCTCGTTGAGGTCCTTAATGCACTGGTCAACACTGGGTCTCTTGCTGTTCTGCTGCTGATCCTGGAACTCTTTGTTGATAGTCTCCAGCTCCTCGATGGCGTCCCATGGCCGCCTGCTGACAGGCTTCAGAAGGAACTGACCGAAGGCTTCCTGCCCACTGCAGGTCGCTGCTGGTTTGGCCTCCTCCGTCGTGTTTCCTGAGGGTGGTGGTGGTGCTGCTGCTGCTGGTGGCTGAGCTGTGCTCTTGTTCAGCTGGCTGGAAATTGAGAAAGTAGCCATCCTGGAAAAGGCGCTGTTGCTGGATGGTTTCAGGCTCTTCACCCCTTTTATAGGATAGCTGAATGCAGTACTGCCCACACCGCTGGGATCTGGGGTGATGACGTCAGAGGAGCCTGGGGCAGGGACTTGAGGGTCTTGTGCTTCCTTGTTTTCAGGGCCTGGAAGAAGGGGAGGCTGAGGTTTTCGGGCTTCTGGTCTAGTTTGGGTCTCCTGGTCCCGGTATTGGTTCCCAGGCCAGGCACCCGAGAGTTTCAGCTCCTTGTGATGGTTTATTTTGGGGGGCTTAATAGGGAGTTTTCTCACTATTTTGCTGCTTGATCTGCTGCTCGCTATGCTACCGGTTAGTGCTTGCAGCTCAGCCTCTGCTGAAGATGTGCTTTGGAGACTTTGGTTTGTTAAGTGGCCCGTTTTGTTCTCACTCAGACTGTCCACTGGGCTTGATGGCCGGACTGGGCTTGGTGGCTTCTCGTCGTTGTTGTTGTTTTGATCACGGGACGTACCGCCCGGCGTTGGAGGGATGGGAACAGACACCAAACAGAATATTGTCTCACTAAGTTTCTTTTTTACACTCTTTTTCTCTGTTTTTTCTGTTTTCTCTGAGTCAGTCTTTCTTGGTTTCTCTTTCTCTGTGGAGTCAGGCTCATTGACTGACTTTTTCACTTGAGTCACAGTTTCTGACACACCTTGACCTTGGTCCACATGCCTGATCAGCTGCTGAGGCGGTCTAATCTGAAAAGCTATTGGATAGTTACCACAGCTCTGATCAGGAGCTACATGGTCTACACTTCCTTTGTTTATTAAACCTCTGTTGCACCATCTAGTACTACTACTGTCGTTGTTATTGAGAGATGTCTTGCGGCAGTCTGTATTGAGAGATAGCCCCTGTGGGGGGGAAAAGGCACTATCATGTGTAGATTGTCCTAAAACCTTAGCGCAGGGAGTCTCTTTGTTCATGTTTCGGATCAACTTGTCAGTGTCAGTGAGAGAATTTCCGCCAGACCCTCCTGAGATATGTCTCACTCGCAGATCATCAAAGGGTAAATGGTGAACATGCCCCAGATGTTCCTTGGTGTGTCCAGGGTTAAGGTTCGGGTTAGCGTTAACCTGTTTTCTGTAGGGTATACCTCGATCCCCGTAGTGTTCCAGCCACGACCCTCCAGTCTGTCCGGAAAACCACTTTCCCGCCTCTGAGCTCATAGGCATGTGCATCTGTATCTGCATCTCCCCACTCCACTTATAGTTTGCCACTTCATTGCGGTTGATTGGTCCTCCCCTGATTGGGGGCAGGGCTCTCTTATAAGACGGGGGCGGGATATAACCGGGGGGCTCCATACCAAAGATAGCAGAGTGTTGTGCGAAATAGTCTTGTCTTTGCAATTCTCCACCCCTTGGGTAATAGATAGGCCTGTTGTCTTTCTGTTGTTTGGACCCTCCCTGCTGGTCTAGTACAGCTACAGCGAGCATCTCTTGGCTACCCCTAGTCTGCTGGTGTATTTCGTATGATGGAGGCTTGACAGGCCTGCTGAACCTGGGCTTTGGTAAAAGTGCAACATGTCCGACGCTTTGCCAACTGTTCCTGGCCCACCGGTCCCTGCCGACTGCGGCACTGTGGTAATACCGACTATAAGGCCCGGAAAAGACGGTGCTGTTCACACGCTGTCTATCAACCTGGCCTGGTCGAAGCTGGATACTGACCAAACTGGACTGTGTGTTTGTGTGTTCAGTAGTTCCATCAGGCGACAGCACTCTGGGGAGGGACTGGGACATCCCTCTGGTTCTGGGGAGGATAGAACCAGCGCTCTCTGGAGTCCTCAGGCGGTGCTGCTGCTCCTGAGCCCACCTCTCGCCCTCACCATCCGACAGCTGCCTCCCCAGCCCCACCGCAGGCTTCCACTCCTCTGTGCCCAGGCTCTGGCACTTCCGCTCCCCAGTCACCCCAGTCATTACCCTCAACTGTCCAGGAGCCGCATCGGCCTCTCTTAGCCAGGAGATGGAGGTGTCTTCCCATAGCTGCTTCTGCTGCTTCTGCGTCTTCTCCCTCTCTCCCCAATGGTCCTCTGCGATCAGGGCCTGTGGTCGCCATGCCCCCTCAGAGGCCTTCAGAAATCCAGTGGACGCTCTCAGCTCCCGGCCGTCTGTGTAATCCAGGAGGAAGCTGAAGTCCTGACCTCTCCTCCTCCAGTAGGACACATCCCTCTCCTCCAGCTGCTCTCTTCTCTCGATCTGCTCAGAATAGGTTAAGCTGGGCACGTCGTAGAACCTGGAAAGAGAAGAAAGCACAATTGAGTGGTAGGGTACTGAAGTTATTAATTCATTAATATAAAAAATTTAATATTTACAATAAAATCTAAACATATTATAACCTGTAAACATGTAACCCTAAAAACCTGGATGTACAGTGAGGGAAAAAAGTATTTGATCCCCTGCTGATTTTGTACGTTTGCCCACTGACAAAGACATGATCAGTCTATAATTTTAATGGTAGGTTTATTTGAACCGTGAGAGACAGAATAACAACAAAAAAATCCAGAGAAACGCATGTCAAAAATGTTATAAATTGATTCGCATTTTAATGAGGGAAATAAGTATTTGACCCCTCTGCAAAACATGATTTAGTACTTGGTGGCAAAACCCGTGTTGGCAATCACAGAGGTCAGACGTTTCTTGTAGTTGGCCACCAGGTTTGCACATATCTCAGGAGGGATTTTGTCCCACTCCTCTTTGCAGATCTTCTCCAAGTCATTAAGGTTTCGAGCCTGACGTTTGGCAACTCGAACCTTCAGCTCCCTCCACAGACTTTCTATGGGATTAAGGTCTGGAGACTGGCTAGGCCACTCCAGGACCTTAATGTGCTTCTTCTTGAGCCACTCCTTTGTTGCCTTGGCCGTGTGTTTTGGGTCATTGTCATGCTGGAATACCCATCCATGACCCATTTTCAATGCCCTGGCTGAGGGAAGGAGGTTCTCACCCATGATTTGACGGTACATGGCGCCGTCCATCGTCCTTTTGATGCGGTGAAGTTGTCCTGTCCCCTTAGCAGAAAAACACCCCCAAAGCATAATGTTTCCACCTCCATGTTTGACGGTGGGGATGGTTGTTCTTGGGGTCATAGGCAGCATTCCTCCTTCTCCAAAGACGGCGAGTTGAGTTGATGCCAAAGAGCTCGATTTTGGTCTCATCTGACCACAACACTTTCACCCAGTTCTCCTCTGAATCATTCAGATGTTCATTGGCAAACTTCAGATGGGCCTGTATATGTGCTTTCTTGAGCAGGGGGACCTTGCGGGCGCTGCAGGATTCCAATCCTTCACGGCGTAGTGTGTTACCAATTGTTTTCTTGGTGACTATGGTCCCAGCTGCCTTGAGATCATTGACAACATCCTCCCGAGTAGTTCTGGGATGATTCCTCACCGTTCTCATGATCATTGCAACTCCACAAGGTGAGATCTTGCATGGAGCCCCAGGCCGAGGGAGATTGACAGTTCTTTTGTGTTTCTTCCATTTGCGACTAATCGCACCAACTGTTGTCACCTTCTCACCAAGCTGCTTGGCGATGGTCTTGTAGCCCATTCCAGCATTGTGTAGGTCTACAATCTTGTCCCAGATATCCTTGGAGAGCTCTTTGGTCTTGGCCATGGTGGTGAGTTTGGAATCTGATTGATTAATTGCTTCTGTGGACAGGTGTCTTTTATACAGGTAACAAGCTGAGATTAGGAGCACTCCCTTTAAGAGTGTGCTCCTAATCTCAGCTCGTTACCTGTATAAAAGACACCTGGGAGCCAGAAATCTTTCTGATTGAGAGGGGGTCAAATACTTATTTCCCTCATTAAAATGTAAATCAATTTATAACATTTTTGACATGCGATTTTCTGGATTTTTTTGTTGTTATTCTGTCTCTCACTGTTCAAATAAACCTACCATTACAATTATAGACTGATCATTTCTTTGTCAGTGGGCAAACGTACAAAATCAGCAGGGGATCAAATACTTTTTTCCCTCACTGTAGATCTATAGTAGCCTATCTGAACAACCATACTGTAGGTACTAAAGACTGGGAAGAGGCCATTGATGACAACTAAATCCATTGGAGGATAACACTGTATACAGTATCATCCATCATGGTGTCATTACAAATGGCACCCTACATCAGTGGTCACCAACCGGTCAAGGCATTCCTAGTCGATTACCAAACATTTCTGTAGAAAAGCCAATGATAAAGGCTTGCACTCCTTTTTTTGTGTGTGCGTGTGTGCGTGTGTGTGTGTGTGTGTGTGTGTGTGTGTGTGTGTGTGTGTGTGTGTGTGTGTGTGTTTTGCGCTGTTAGCGATAGGTGCACTTCATTCAGAAGCCCTGCGCTCCGGGTAGGCAAAGTGTTCCCATTTTGAACCATTTCAATTGTCTGAAAAGACAAACGGGAGATCTGTGGCTAAATCGAGTGCCCCTACTGCCTACTGCGCTCAAATCATTGTGCCTACAGCTTCCACGACACCGGCCACAGCAAAGTTTGATACTAGCCTATGTGAGATTTCATAACTTTTAAAACCAGAGAGAGACTGTCAAAGAATACTGCAAAGAGCTGCTGTTTTTAGGAATGAGTTCATGTCTACGTTTTTATTCAGCACTGTCAACACTGTTTTTATTCAACACTATTACAAAACATAAAACGAGCTTCTCCCTACTTCCACTTGCGCTGCAGCTGCAATGAATGAGTAGCCAAGTGTATCGATAGCCCTGCGTTTTTATTTCTCTGGTCATAGGAACAACATGAATTTGAGCATGAGGTAGATGCGGTGCGACTCGAGTTTTGCCATCAGGTGGAAGACGATTTCCCCTCTCTTTGGTCAGTCTCACCGGAGGAAAGGAAGGAGAGAGCAGGTACCATGAGAGACGGACCCTCTGCTGCTCTCCCCCTCCCTCCACTGAGACTAATGCTGTGTTCAAAACAAATGGAAATCTCCAACTTCAGTGCGTTCAAGACAACTGGGAACTCTGGGGAAAAAAACGAGATCCGACTGTGAAAAATAGTTTTGAACGATCATCCAACTCGGAAATTGAAGTCGGAAAATCTGGCATCTTTCTAGAGCGCCGACAGTTCCAACCTGATGATTTGACCTCGTTTTTCCCAGTGTCTTGAAAGCACCATGACCATCAGATGCAGGTACTATCAGTCCAGTGAAATAAACAAGCAAATCATTTGCAAATTATTTCAATTTCTGCTCAGCTGTGCCTCGCAAGTGCTACACCAAATGATCTATTTTGTTATCAAAGCTCGATTTTTGAAATATAATATGGTATGAGAAGAACAATATTGGCTGGACAGGCATACAGCCTATATGCTGTGATAATGTATTAGGCCTACTGCACAAACCTCATTCCTAGTTTTTAGTAGGTTAATGTAAAACATTTTAAGTAATGTTTTCTTCTTTTTTTTTATCTGAGTGGTAGATCTCGGCTTGCTTTTTGACTGTGAAAGTGATATTGACTCAAAAAAAAATGTGTTGACCACTGCCCTATATAGTGCACTTCTTTTGACCAAATGGCACCCTATTCCCTATATAGTGCATTACTTTTGACCAGAGCCCATTTCAATGGAAAGTGCTCTCTTTAAGCATCGATTCACATCGCAACGTAAACAACCCAACAGTGCAGAAGAAGAAACCTTTACATGATAAGAATTCCTCATCATATCACAGCATAAGGCACCCTATTCCCTATATAGTGCACTACTTTTACCCAGGGCCCATTGGGCTTTGGTCGAAAATAGTGCACTATATAGGGAATAGTGTGCCATTTGGAGCACAAACCTCATCGTATCGCAGCATCTGGCAAGACAAGGCAGTGGTGCAGCAGCCTCAGTGTTCGTTCTGCAGCTCTAGAAGGAAGGAAACGGGGAGAAAAAGAAAAAAACCACCCTCCTGCGCAGTGCAGACAGGGTGGCTCGGCTTTGCATGCAATGCCGAAGGGCCCGGCAAAAAAAAAAGGGAGGGAAGGTATTGTGGGGATCTCAAAAGAGAGAAAATATATTTTTTTAACTCACCCGCTATCCGTGGCGAGAGAATCGCCCAGGGGCTGTGCTAGGCTGTCACCTAGGTTACCGCTGCCAGCTTCTTTTCGCCTTTGGTTCCTTTCCCCGCAGCTCTCATTGTCGCAGCTGCCGGGGTAGCCCTTCGCCAGTAGTGCCTGCCTGCTGCTGCTGAAGATGCAAGCCCCCCTGTCTCCCGCCTGTTCATACCCGTTCAGTGATCCACCACGACCAGACCTCTGGTTCTCTGCTGCTGGGATTTCACGGTGGCAAGCGACGACGGCGTGGCGCTGCTTCTCGTAAGGCGCGGTGACGGATGAAGTTGAAGAGGGGCAGGGGATGCTTGTCTTGGGCAGATTGTATCCGTGAGAAATGAGGAGGTCCTCCACACTGTACATTGTGGTGTGTGTCTCTCTGTCTTGGCAGCAGTGTTTATTTTGTTCCTTATGCGCAGTGCTGCTGGTAGAAACTGGAGCACAACTTCTCAGCAGAGGCCATCCCTATGGGGAGAAGAAAGGTAACATTTAGCTAGCTTCAAAAGCGTAACTACCAATTATTTATATATACACTAGATGACTAACAGGGGGCACTGTTTTGAAGCCACCCCGCTTCCATATTGGCACTCCCCCACCATTATAAAAAATATTTTGGAAGCTATAGAAATGTATTAATGTCTACATTTGTTTTTGCCACGTTTATTCTATTACAGACACCTTAATGCATACTTTTAAATTATATGTGAGCTAAACATAAAAATGAAATGACTTTTTTGAAAGTACTAATGTTACTGTCCACACTACAACAAAAACATATTTAAATACCTGTTATTTTGTTCTTGAAACATTTAATAACCCTATAGAGCAGGGTTTCCCAAACTCGGTCCTGGAGCCCACCCTGGGTGCACGTTTTCAACCAACACATCATCAAGCTTTGATTATTTTCATCAGCTGTGTAGTGTTAGGGCAAAAACCAAAACGTGCACCCAGGTTTGGGAAACCCTGCTGTGGAGGACTGCTCCTTCTGGGGAGTGCCAATATGGCCTTATGGTAGCTTCAGGGCCTCTCATTGGCCAATACATAGCATCAGCAATACATTTTAAATTTTAGTCATTTAGCAGACGCTCTTATCCAGAGCGACTTACAGTTAGTGAGTGCATACATTTTCATACTGGCACCCCGTGGGAAACGAACCCACAAACCTGGTGTTGCAAGCGCCGTGCTCTACCAACTGAGCTACAGGGGACTGTAATACATGGTTATATACACTACCGTTCAAAAGTTTGGGGTCACTTAGAAATGTCCTTAGAAATGTTCTTTTTTTGTCCATTAAAATAACATCAAATTGATCAGAAATACAGTGTAGACATTGTTAATGTTGTAAATGGCTATTGTAGCTGGAAACGGCTGATTTTTAATGGAATATCTACATAGGCGTACAGAGGCCCATTATCAGCAACCATCAGTCCTGTCTTTCAATGGCACATTGTATTTGCTAATCCAAGTTTATCGTTTCAAAAGGCTAATTGATCATTAGAAAACCCTTTTGCAATTATGTTAGCACAGCTGAAAACTGTTGTGCTGATTAAAGAAGCAATAAAACTGGCCTTCTTGAGACTAGTTGAGTATCAGCAATTGTGGGTTCAATTACAGGCTCAAAATGGCCAGACACAAATAACTTTCTTCTGAAACTCGTCAGTCTATTCTTGTTCTGAGAAATGAAAGCTATTCCATGCGAGAAACTGACAATAAACTGAAGATCTCGTACAACGGTGTGTACTACTCCCTTCACAGAACAGCACAAACTGGCTCTAACCAGAATAGAAAGAGGAGTGGGAGGCCCCGGTGCACAACTGAGCAAGAGGACAAATACATTAGAGTGTCTAGTTTGAGAAACAGATGCCTCACAGGTCCCCAACTGGCAGCTTCATTAAATAGTACCCGCAAAACACCAGTCTCAACGTCAACAGTGAAGAGGCGACTCCGGGATGCTGACCTTCTAGGCAGAGTTGCAAAGAAAAAGCCATATCTCAGACTGGCCAATAAAAATAAAATATTAAGATGGGCAAAAGAACACAGAAACTGGACAGAGGAAGATTGGAAAAAAGTGTTATGGACAGACGATTCTAAGTTTGAGGTGTTCGGATCACAAAGAAGAACATTTGTGAGACGCAGACCAAATTAAAAGATGCTGGAGGAGTGCTTGATGCCATCTGTCAAGCATGGTGGAGGCAATGTGATGGTCTGAGGGTGCTTTGGTGGTAGTAAAGTGGGAGATTTGTACAGGGTAAAAGGGATCTTGAAGACGGAAGGCTATCACTCCATTTTGCAACGCCATGCCATACCCTGTGGACGGCGCTTGATTGGAGTCAATTTCCTCCTACAACAGGACAATGACCCAAAGCACAGCTCCAAACTATGCAAGAACTATTTAGGGAAGAAGCAGTCAGCTGGCATTCTGTCTATAATGGAGTGGCCAGCACAGTCACCGGATCTCAACCCTATTGAGCTGTTGTGGGAGCAGCTTGACCATATGGTACGTAAGAAGTGCCCATCAAGCCAATCCAACTTGTGGGAGGTGCTTCAGGAAGCATGGGGTTACCTCAACAAATTGACAACTAGAATGCCAAAGGTCTGCAAGGCTGTAATTGCTGCAAATTGAGGATTCTTTGACGAAAGCAGCGTTTGAAGGACACAATTATTATTTCAATTCAAAATCATTATTTCTAACCTTGTCAATGACTACATTTCCTATGCATTTTGCTATATTTCCTATTCAAACTCATTTCATGTATATTTTCATGGAAAACAAGGACATTTCTAAGTGACCCCAAACTTTTGAACGGTAGTGTACATCATTGATAGTTACCTACTGATTGTGTGGAGTGGAACACTAATGTATGTACACTACAGTGCATTCGGAAAGTATTCAGACCCCTTGACTTTTTCCACATTTTGTTATGTTAGTCTTATTCTAAAATTGATTAAATTGTTTTTTTCCCCCCTCATCAATCTATACACAATACCCCATAATGACAAAGCAAAAACAGTTTTTTTGACATTTTTGTACATTTATTAAAAAGAAAGTAATATCAGATTTACATAAGTATTCAGACCCTTTACTCAGTACTTTGTTGAAGCACCTTTGGCAGCGATTACAGCCTTGAGTCTTCTAGGGTATGACAGTACAAGCTTGGCACACCTGTATTTGAGGAGTTTCCCATTCTTCTCTGTCGGGTTGGATGGGGAGCATCGCTACACAGCTATTTTCAGGTCTCTCCAGAGATGTTTGATCGGGTTCAAGTCCGGGCTCTGGCTGGGCCACTCAAGGACATTCAGAGACTTGTCCCAAAGCAACTCCTGCATTATCTTGGCTGTGTGCTTAGGGTCGTTGTCCTGTTGGAAGGTGAACCTTCGCCCCAGTCTGAGGTCCTGAGCGCTCTGGAGCAGGTTTTCATCAATGATCTCTCTGTACTTTTCTCCGTTCATCTTTGCCTCAATCCTGACTAGTCTCCCAGTCCCTGCCGCTGAAAAACATCCCCACAGCATGATGCTGCCACCACCAGGCTTCACCGTAGGGATGGCATTGGCCAGGTGATGAGCGGTGCCTGGTTTCCTCCAGACATGATGCTTGGCATTCAGGCCAAAGAGTTCAATCTTGGTTTCATTAGACCAGAGAATCTTGTTTCTCATGGTCTGAGAGTCCTTTAGGTGCCTTTTGGCAAACTCCAAGCGGGCTGTCATGTGCCTTTTACTGAGGAGTGGCTTCCGTCTGTCCATTCTACCATAAAGGCCTGATTGGTGGAGTGCTGCAGAGATGGTTGTCCTTCTGGAAAGTTCTCCCATCTCCACAAAGGGACTGGAGCTCTGTCATAGTGACCATCGGGTTCTTGGTCACCTCCCTGACCAATGCCCTTCTCCCCCGCTTGCTCAGTTTGGCCAGGCGGCCAGCTCTAGGAAGAGTCTTGGTGGTTCCAAACTTCCATTTAAGAATGATTGAGGCCACTGTGTTCTTGGGGACCTTCAATGCTGCAGAAATGTTTTAGTACCCTTCCCCTGATCTGTGCCTCGACACAATCCTGTCTCGGAACTCTACGGACAATTCCTACGACCTCATGGCTTGGTTTTTGCTCTGACATGCACTGTGAACTGTGGGACCTTATATAGACAGGTGTGTGCCTTTCCAAATCATGTCCAATCAATTGAATGTACCACAGGTGGACTCCAATCAAGTTGTAGAAACATCTCAAGGATGATAAATATAAACAGGATGCACCTGAGCTCAATTTCGAGTCTCTTCGCAAAGAGTCTGAATACTTATGTAAATAAGGTATTTCTGTTTTATTTTTCATAAATTTGCAAAAATGTATAAAACCCTGTTTTCACTTTGTGATTATGGGGTATTGTGTGTAGATTAAGAAAAACATTAATTTAATCAATTTTAGAATAAGGCTGTAACCTAACAAAATATGGAAAACGTGAAGGGGTCTGAATACTTTCCGAATGCACTGTATATGTAGGGGAGAACCAACAGGGGGAGAGTGAAACAGGAAAAAGGTAACATTCTGTCAAGACTGTCCCAAATGGTACAACCTTTCGGTTACTGTCCCAACACTCTAACCGCTAGGCTACCTGCCGCCCACTTCTTAGGGAATAGGGTGCCATTTGGTTAGGCTATAGGGTGCCATTTGGGACACACACAGTTAGTTTCAGAGCTTGTTGTATCTGATTAGGTCACTGGAGGGTGGACATTAGACTATTTGTATTTTGTACATGTTCCTGTTACGGCCCAGTTACACCAGGCACTACCTCTAGTGATCAAACTACCGGAGGTCAATAATTTTATAGAACTTAGAGGTAATTCTTGGTTAGTCTCTTCAAAAAAAATATATAATAAATAGAATTAAGTATATTACGTGCAAATGTATTTCCTATAATAGATTGAACCCTGAATAGTTTAGTATGTTTTCAGTGGGTGCATGGGTTTTGTCCCAAATGGCACCCTATTCTCTACATACTGCACTACTTTTAACCAGAGACTATGGGCCCTCGTCAAAAGTAGTGCACTAAATATGGAATAGTGTGCCATTTGAGACGCAAACCTATAACACATTCCTTTCAGTATTTACTGAATGGCTGTGTATTTTTTCTCTGTCTTTGACTGACTCAGCCAAAATCAATCTGTTTCCAGATTAGCACAGCAGGGGGGTTGCTATAAACAGATGCTGTTGAAGAACAAAGTTAAAAATATCTATTTTATGATTTGAATACTTGTTGCTCTTTTTTCTGACAATAATTGCAGTGCCAATCATTTTAGAAACAGAAAAAAAATTGCCAGCTAAAAAAACGCATCAATGCCTCATTACTAAACATTTACATTACATTTTACATTTTAGTCATTT